ATTCGCCACCGAGATTCCTGTGTAAGAATTACAATGTTGGTACATAACACAATAGAAAAACCCTAAGGACTCCACCAAAATATTATTAGAAACAAGAAACAAATCCAGTGAATTTGCAGGATACAAAATCAATGTACAAAAATCCATGCATGCCTACATGCTAACAATGCAATTTCAGAAAACAAACAAACAAAAAACCATCTCTTTGCAATTGAACAAAAAAGGATAAATTACTTAGGGATAAACATCACAAAGGATGTGAAGGACCTATACACTGAAAACTATAAGACATTATTAAAAGAAATTGAAGAAGACACAAAGGAAAGATGTCATGTCTTCATGGATTGGAATAATCAACATAGTTAAAATTGCCACATCACCCAAAGTACTACGCTGATTTAATGCAACTCTCATTAAAATCCCAATGAAAATTTTTATTTACTTATTTTTTGTCTTGGACCTTGATTTATTTTTCTTTTATTTTTAAAAATTTAAATTTATTCAGGTGACTATCATAAATAAAAGTATTATACATAGGTTTCAAGTATACAATTTTATAATACATCATTTATATAGCACATTCGGTGCTCACCACCCAGAGTCAGTTCTCCTTCCGTCACCTTAAATTTGACCCCCTTTACCCTCTTCTACCACCGCCTCCCTTACTGTCCAGTAACCACTAAACTGTTGTCTGTGTCTGTGAGCTTTTGTTTCTTTATTTGTTTGTCTTGTTCCTTCATTGCTTTCAGATTTATATCCAACTTATCAGTGAAATCATATAGTTCTTGACTTTCTCTCTGGCTTATTTTGTTATCATAATAATTTCAAGATCCATCCTTGTTATTCAAATGGCACTATTCATCATTTTATTATGGCAGAGTAGTATTCTATTGTTACATATGCCAGATCTTCTTTATCCAATCATCCATCAAAGGACACTGTGGTTGTTTCTTTGTCTTGGCCACCATAAATAATGCTGCAATGAACTTGGAGCACATATATCTTTACTGATAAATGTTTGCAGATTTTGGGGGTATGTACATAGGAGAAGGATAATTATCAGATGTGTATGGAAACACAAAAATGCCTGAATAGCCCAAACAATCCTAAAAAAAGAACAAGCCTAGAGGTATCACATTCCTTAACTTCAATTTACACGACAAAGTGACAA